AATTTCCGTCGGTAAGCATGCATTGTTCGAGCTGTGTTGCGCTTGGGTGGTGTAGGTGCTAGTGGAGTCCGTGTTGTGGTGTGGTCGTGGCTCGTGCCTGTGAGTGTGGTGTGTAGTGCGGTGGCGATCTGAAAACGTCGCTGTCCTGGGCCGCGCAGGACGGAGTCCAATAGCTGCCTAGCGCGCGTGGCAGCGTACCTGCGGTCCGGGCCACGCGGGATAGCTTGTGTAGGTCATGTTTTCCGCCACGAGTGGACTGCAGTCACTACCCGAGGCTCTACATGGCATTACTGTATTCCATTAGATGCTGGCCCCTGGCTTGCGGTCCAATTTCTGGCAACGAGACCTGAGAGAGTTGCTTCGCATGGGGAAACTTCTAGACACTCTTTCTGAGGCGGTCTAGCGAGAAGAGCTGAGCTGCTGACGCTAGAAAGCATGGTATCGGAGATTATGCATAACACCTTTGTCGTGGTGAACACAAGGGACTGTACGTTGTGAAGTAATACGGCAGGTTGAAGGTACTTAAATAACCTATTACTGCCTATAGCTGTACATACAACGCTTCGTCATCGTTTTCATAAGTTCCTAACTATTATTCTTAATCACCCCGCAGTGAAGCACCGTCTCCTGCCCATGAAGACTCGGTAACTTTCACGTCCGTAAGTTTTGTTGGCCCACTGTCGCAGATTATTATTATCGCAGACAAATTCTCTCTATGAACTCAGTGTTACGTCTACAGATGATATTACATTAATATAGTATGTAATATAGTATATATAGTATATATATATACTATAGAGAGAGAGAAGATGAGACCGAGAGAACGGAGAGAGAGAAGCGAGGCAGCGAGACGACCAGTCACGAGGAGAGAGGGCGAGGGAAGAAGAAAGAAGGGAGAAAGACAAGAGTAGTATGCGCAGAGTAGAAAGATATATGTATGATATAAATCCGCGTAGGCAATTATCTATTTGGCAGCACGCCTTTCCTGTTCTCTCCTGAGCGCGCATGAACGCAGATTAGAGATTATGCACCGTCATCGTACGTGCTTCACCGCGTCGAATGGGATAAAAGGGAGGCGTAATGAAAGCGGCGGCCAACTGTCCTATGCTGTCGCCTTGCAGGATAGCATGTCTGAGCGCGATTTTCTCCATACCGAGCGCGCTACACGTCTCACAGAGAGTGATGCAATGGCTTGGAGAGGCATGTGCTCTGGAGGACGCACGAGCTGAGCAGCCGAGAACACGACGCAAAACACGCAGCTCACGCATGGAATGAGCGCAATGGATACGTCCACAGCAGTAGAGATAACGAGAGTTAGGGAGGGACGGGCCGGTCAGTAATCGGCCGGAGGAAGAGGAATAAAAATCAAGAATTTATGTGAGTATGAGTGCTTACCGCCAGAAGACACGGAAGGACTGGCCGCCTTGGGACGTGATATATCACTTGAATAGCCACATAGTGGGCGAGAGGTGGCGTGGTAAATTGTTGTGATATTTACTCTCTATCGGGTCTAAGGCCTCCTAGAAAGTGGCTATACTCCTAGTTACCATATCATTAGCTACTTAATCACGTTAATGAGAGAGTATTGAGTTAAAAACATTTTAATGAATGCACTGATGTACTGTATAGTTTACTATCACTAGTAATGCTTATATTCAGATATACTATATGTGTACAAGCATTAAGCATAAAGTTGTTTAAACAACCTGTCTACATCTATTTCTGACACTGATTCGGAATTGCTTGGCAAAACCGCCCCGAGGTCAGCAAACGCGTCGAGTGGTGAGAATTAGTGCATCAACTTACCAGTCTGAAGTGTGGGTGTAAGTTTATAATACCAATTTATGGCAAAACCGATGAATGCGTCTTTTCTCGGTATTTTCTCGTTTTGGCAGGCGCCAGGTCACAGCTGTGTTAATCAAGCGACTGAGCAAGTCGGAGAGGTGGTGTTCGATTGCGGTTCTTACCTGCCTTCTCTCAATCACTCAACTCCTTGTGCACTACTCGTGAGAGCGCTAACAAGAGGCTAATCAATACCATTAATTATACGCCAGCTCCTAGTTAGTCATAGGTATTATGTCAGCCTCTTGATTGTAATTAATGACTATTTAGTTCTCTCCCTCTTCTGTGAAAATATTATATAGGAAGGTTCGTGAATTTTCATATGGTCATAGCGTTGTAAATACAGGTACGTCTATATATGTGTAGATTAAACGTAGGATGTGTAAATATTAACGGTACGATTTGACACTACACCTTGTGCTTATGCTGGAATGTTTCTGGCTATTTTCCACAGGGGAGCAAAGTTGCAGGAGCTCCACAAGGTCCCGAAACTTTTTGTCACTCTTGTAGTGTGCACGAATTCATCCTTTACTCACTTCGCTCACACTGCTTCTAGTATAAGTCCGAATTATTTCACATATATTAGAGAGTCTCTATCGCCAAACTTATGAATGGATATTCGTGTTGATGCTCTAGAGTCCTTGAAATCGTTCTGCAAAAAATAAAAATTATCAACTAGTACGTGTGGCTTCATTTGAAGGATATTCACATAGTTGTAAACATTGACGCTTTATGATTGTAAGTTAGCCACGTTTTTGAAACACTCGACTTCATGAGCACCGAATACTATTTCACTTTGGATCAGAAAACGTGTGGCGTCAATTTGCTAGTGACACCTCGGTAATGTACGTAGTGTCAAAGGTTTTACTTGATGAGCAGGAATTTCGTAAATACCACGGGAGTGACATGAGAGATCACTCAACGTGTAGATATGCCTCTGCATACTATCGAAATCCAGCGCGTAGAGACACGCACTGATCAACAGGATAAATTTGTCTGAGATGATATTTTGTTGACTCTCGTCTCTGGGACACCACTCTAAAATATATATATATATATATATCTTATATATATATATATATAGTATATAACGTAATAGTAACGTAAATACAAACGCTTATATTAAGCGTACTTGTGTCGGGTTTTTCTCAAAGCGGTGTTATAGTCAGTAACTCGCACCGCCCTTTGCAAAATTATACGACTATGATGATTTAAAGGTGCGTTCTCAAAAAAAGAATGCGTAAGTACGGTAAACCTGGAGAGGACAGACGATACGCTATTTATATTAACGGTAACTTGTACTCGCGGCGTATGTTGTGAAAACCTCTAATGAAATGAAGGCCACGAACAATAACCCTTTGATTTCGATCGACAAGTTTTTAGTGAAGCGGTTAGGAAAAACGGGTAGCGTGGTAGTTTTTACAACGATTATAGTGGAGCAGATCATACACGCGCAGACCTTTATGACCAAACCACGCCCGGTTACGATTATTCTTCGTACGCTTAACAATCATGATGTTTCTACGATCAGAAACGAAAATCAAACACCATGATAAACTTCTAGCTAAGTTAATTATCGTTTAGTGCGTAGTTAGTGAAAATTAATATTGTTTTCTCGTTATACATTGAACCCACAAACCAAAAGAGCAAAATATCTGGCGATTGATGCGGGCCGGTCTGCACAATAATAGAGTGATGCACCGTGTAGTGTGAACGTACTGCGTTCTACCGTGTTAGTCTGTTCGGTGACTAGCACTGTTTACGTAACGCATGTTTTACCTTCAGCGCGGCATGTTTGTCAGGTATCATGAGCAGTTAGGTCATATCATTATGCTAGCATCGACTGACGTGGTGTCATCCTCCAGCTATAAAGCAGAGGCCACTATGTTCCATTCAGACGCAAGAGCACAAATGAGGTTTCCAGCCCATTGCCACACAGGAGAAAAGACAAAGCCTCTCAAATATTTTTCGCTATGAATCTACCTATAGGCTTGAGGCCAGTCTGAGAGATGCGTCCCAGCCGCGGGTGTTTACCCTAGCACTTGTTTACTGAACCGGCATGGTTTTATTTTTTTATTTATTAGCGCATGTTTTATTAGCGCATGTTTAGCTAAGCGCAGTGTTTATTAGCGCATGTGTTACTAAACGCATGTTTACGAGCACATGTTTACTAGCGCATGTTTACTAGGACCTATGGTTGTAGCAACCACATGTTTACCTAGCACATGTTTAACTAACTAGACAGATGGTTTATTTAGCGCAATGTTAACTGAACGCATGTTTTATTAGCGACGCGATGTTTACTCGTGAGCGATGGCACACCGCGCGGACCAGTGGCGAGGCATTTTGTTTGGGTCCTGACACCTACAGAGTTGTTTCATGTGCTCCAGCGTTCTAGCTGTTATTCACAAAATATAGTTCATTAAAGCTGGGTTGGTAACCTAGGTAGCTAACCGTGGTTGTAGCCTAGGGTAGCTACCCTTGGTTGCTAGCTAGGTAGCTACACCTGATGGTTAGCCTAGGTAGCTAACCCCGTTGACTATCCTAGGTAGCTAACCCTTGTCACTATCCTAGATAGCTAACCCTCGTCGCTATCCTAGGCAGCTATAACCCCTTGCCACTATTATAGGTAGCTAACGATCGTTGCTATCCTTGGTAGCTAACCCTACCACGTACATCCCCTGCAGGGTGCTCTACTTCTCGGTGCATCGCTACAAGTTTGGCGCCTTCTGGCCGAACCTTCGCGAGTCTGACTGCGATTTCATCGGAGAGGGCGCCGGCGTAGGCTACAACATCAACGTTCCGCTGAACAAGGTAATCGGATTAGGTCGGAGGTCGGAGGTCGATCTTGGTAACTTCGGCGATGAGCGATCAAGTTAGCTCGTTGTGTAATGATTGATGATGGCACATACATGCCCAGCAGCAGCAGCAGTAACAGCAGCAGCAGAGGCAGTAGTAGTAGCAGCAGCAGCAGTACGGAGCAGCTCAGCAGCAGCAGCCAGCAAGGCAAAGCAGCAGTAGCAGAGCAGTACAGCAGAAGCGCAGAGGCAGTAGTAGTAGCAGCAGCAGCAGTAGTGACAGCAGAGCAGGAAGCATGCAGCAGCAGTAACAGTGCAGAAAAGCAGAAGCTAGTAGTAGTAGCAGCAGCAGCGTAGGCGACGCAGCAAGACCACGCAGCACAGCAGTAACCAGCAGTAGGAGAGGCCAGTTAGTAGTTAGCGGCAGCAGCAGAGTAGGAGCAGCAGCAGTTAGCGACGAAGCAACATAATCAGCAGTAGCCAGCAAGCGAGCAGAAAGAGCAAGTAGCTGGCAGAGGCAGTAGTAGTAGCACATGCAGGCAGAAGCAGCAAGATCTGTCCGTGCGCCACGCTCCGTTACCTCGGGTCGTCGTAGAAGGAGTATTGCGTTCCCTGGCCGTGGTGGACGTCCCAGTCGACGATGAGGACCCTGTCAAATGCAGGGTGCGAAATTAACGGGAGTCCGGAGTCAAATACTCCCTGATTTACTGTTGATCTCCCTGATTTGACATATGCAGGTGTCCATGTCACTCCCTGAAAATTCTGCCATACTAACTAGTTCGTTCCAGAGCACGGCCTCGCGGAATTACCGTATTTTTTCGGCGAATGTCCAAAGAAAATTTGGCAGACGTGCAACCGCATGAATCTTCAAAATAAGCACACGCGTTAATTTTGAACTTCAGACTGCAGACTCATTTTGCTGCATTAATTAACTGGAATTAATTAAAATCGTCACGGCAGAGTTCGCTTGACCGCACTGCGACGAGCGAGTCATGCGTACCTCTCGTATCCATGGTTACGCAGAGCGCTCTCGGCAGCGATGGCGGCGTTGTTGAGGAAGCAGAAGCCGCACGCCTCCGACTCCATCGCGTGGTGACCTGGCGGCCTGCCAAAAACGAGAAAAATACGAGAAAAGACGATTCAATCGGCTTCCATCTTGGAATACCAATCACCGGATGATTCGACTGAGGTGCTGACCTCGCGTTTTGCATAGCAAATTCCATCAGTGTCAGAAATAGATGTGACAGGTTTTAACGACTTTATGCTAATGCTTTACACATATATGTATATATATATATATATATACATACATCAGTGTCTAAAATGTTTTACACTCTTTAACTGTATGCTAACGTTTTATAGTTCCACTTTAATTACATATATGTATATATATATATATATATATACATCAGTGTCTAAAATGTTTTACACTCTTTAACTGTATGCTAACGTTTTATAGTTCCACTTTCTGAAGGCCTCCGAGAGAATTCCATTTCGCCCTCGCACTGCAATGGATAACAGACAACGGCAGTCCTTCCGCTTCGGGAAGCACCCGCGTCACCGGCGCCACCTACCTGACGATGGCCATCCCATTGCGGACTTTTCCTTCTGCGATGTGGTCCAGCAGCTCCAAGCAGCCTCCTAACGACAGACGCGCCGTCTCAAACGTATCCTGCAAGCGACAGCATAGACAGCCGCTTTCATTACGCCTCCTTTTCGAGCGTGCACACAATCAGTGGATGGATCGGAGGGGCTGACAATAGATTGGTACCATCTATGAATTTGTTTGTTTGTTCCCTGATGGTGTTCGTGCGAACGTACTGGAATTGGAGTGGGAACAAACTTACGGACGTGAAAGTTACCAGTACTCATGGGAGGAGACCATGCTACTGGGGGAAGGTACGTTTGAACTAGATCTTCTTTCTCCACGTTTGTCAAAAGGGTTTATTATTTATGATTGGCAAGTGAGTCTACCAGAGACCTAGGCAGAAACATGCACACACACACACGCACCCACGCACGCACACACACACACACACACACCCACACACACGTGCGCACACACACACGCAGACACTTGCACATGCACAGCGACACGTACTCACTTTGTTGAAATATACATCTGAGAATGACGCTGATACCTCTTCGAACTCGGCCTCGGTGTCACAGCTTTCCGTATTGCGTATTGCATCCACGTACTGCTGGCTAAAGCGAACCAAGATATACAGACATATACATGGTGCCCCCTCAATCCACCACACACCACCTACAGTCAGAACTGCGATAGTGCACTCTATAGTGTGGAGTGTGGATATCTATTCAAAGATAAAATATTTGCATTTTCTCGTGAGTAGCAGTTATGCAGTGAAACAACCACTACAGAAAGAATGCCTGTCTACATAATACACTTCTGGGACACTTTGGGTCATCAAATTTGGGTCTGACCTCTTGTTACAGTATGCAAATTTTGTGATCGATTATGTATTGTTTGGGACATTGGCACATTTCTGGGCAGTTACACACCACTTATTCAACAATTTGTATTAGCATGGATGAGAGTGAAATTGGTATCCATTTACAAACAAAGTGTACTAGTATATATAGACCATCTGCACACTCTCTATATAATAAGAACAGTCTAATGCACATGACACCAGGCCGGCATCACATTTCTATTAACTACACAAACATATTGATACTAGGCAAGTCAATACAAATCGGCAAAAAGTGCCTGCTAGTGAAGATATGCTTCTATTGGCTAGTAGATCCCTAAGTTTATTTAGTACCTGGGTGCGGTTCCTAAGATACAAGCAATGATTATTGATAAATATACATCGACGAGACATTAAATATGTCATCGAGACATCAGCTAACCTATGATTCAGCAGAATTTCTTCCTCTGTTGCCAATCTTATCTGAAATGAGTGCAAACAGAAAGCATTGAAGTGCACTGGGGGCCGTCCAGGGACTGCATACATGCACCAAACCGATGTGAAACGCTTCCAAAGTAGAGCAAGGCTGTGTGAATATTACCGCAAATCTCACCGCCGACTGTCGGCACCCGCAATAACGAATGAGGCTCAAGACGGGTGTAGAAATCACATGTTAACGTGTGTAAAAGCATGCGGGGGACCAGACGGGTGCCTGTCTATAAAGGGCAGTTTAGGCGGTTCTTTAGATTGGCAGCTATACAGTGCAACCACCTCGACGGGACAGAAGCCTGTCTACAAAGGACACTTTTGGGGTTCCTCTCAATTTACCCTTATAATATACAAGTTCCAATGCACTCAACATCACGCATGAATCACAACTAATGCCACACATGCACATATTCCCCACGCATCACTCCCAAGCGATATCAAACACAACTTTGACCGGTGGTAGGAACCCGCTACACTGTAATGTATCAATCCACGATACACATCGAGCATGGAGGCATGAAAAGTCTGTACAGGGAAAAGAAAATCACCAAAGAAAACAATGAACCAAAGGGGCCTTTCATAATTCTGCACCCTCTGCCAAATAGTGCCTGCTACACTATACCACGACTCGCCGAATAAGTTTCACCTGCATGGCAGCAGAGGGCGTGACGATCGCCTTACCGGAACGTGAACGCATCTGTCGACGAGGCCGTACTCCTGACACTGTCTGTAGGACTCCGCTACACGTAGAGGGCGCTCATTGTGCTCCCGGAACCAGAGGTTGTGATGTTTCAGCATCCGCTCGTCGTAGACGAGGCCTGTCCTAGACGACGCATCGTTAGCACTCATTAAGATTCGTTAGCACTCGTTAGGTTTCATCTGCACAGGCGTGGTTTCATATGCACACACTTTTGTAGACATGAGGACTTGGGCAAAGGAAGTAATTTTCAATAATTAGATGGTTTTACCTACATAAACAAGGTTTCATACACACATGGATTTGGCCTACCAAAACAAATTTCCCCTGTTTTGTAAAATGCGGAAATTGGGAATACACAAGGATTTTGGTTACCGAAACAATTTTCATTTGTTAGGTTATATCTACATAAACGAAGCTTCGTATGTCTAAAGATCTATACTGCAAAATCATTTCTCTTTTTTTAGAAAACCTTATGTTTAAGTGGCTGTACCGGTATGCTAGATTGTGTCACAAATACTGCTAATAGAGAAGATATTATATCTATGGATTTGCACGTTTCGGCAGTTGGGAAGGTTGAGTTCCCATTCATGATTATTCCACAGTTACACACTCACACGCATTGTGTAAGAACACTGCTACATACCCTGAGACTACCGAATTATCTGGGTCGAACGTCTGAAAATAGAATACATCGCAGTTATCAATTAGCATGGGGAAAAATTCTCGATATTTCGCAACTGGGGCGCTAATCCACGCGTTGGTCATCTTCTCAATCCTCTAGTGTTTGATAAAATTGCTTAGAGTCAGACCCAGTGTTAAATCCTGCAGTCAACTCATAGCAAAGTCCTTGTTGTACTTGGAAAGCTTACAATCAGTTCACGAGAACACAAAATATTGTCTTTTTTTTAAATATCCGAGTATTGTGAGACGTAATATTCCAGTAAATCACTAACCAGGGTTATTCTGTATCTGTAGCAGTAATTATGAGTAAGGATATATTAACTCTGTGAACAGGGGGCACCACCTACCAGCTGCGCCATCATTTCGTCAATGTTGCGCTGCTTACTCTTGGCTTTTCTCGTTTGCCGCATCACTTGCCTCAGCCCTTGCTTCTTGCCTGGTGACTTCTTCTTTTTCGTCTGAGAACCTTTCTTACTTTGATCAGGCGCAACCTGAAACAGACGCAAATCATGAACGATAATGGAAATGGGAAAGGAACTTTGACCTTTGACTTGCTTATTTACACTCAAATCAACTACTCGGCCTTATATATGCTGTGTCACGCCTGCAGTGTAATATTAAATTATCCACGCACACACAAGAAGACAGCAGCCCAATCCTAGCTTAGCACATATGCGAACTATAATACCGGGGTCCCAAACTAGGATTAAGCAAAGAAGTTATCTGGCTTTATAGTTTTCCCTCCACAGATATATCATATATAGCACAGGCACTTAGAACGTCTCAATAAAAAAAAAAGGTAAATAAACACGAAATGTATTTACTACCAAAGTCTTAATGCTTCTCTACTCTATTTCGCCTATTATTGCCGATAATTACCCGTAAATGCCGGTCAAATGCACATCTGCAACACACAAGTACATCGCACGCACGCCCTGTGCACAAACAACATGAATAAAAACTCTCTTTATGAATTATCTTTGATATAAGTTAAATGATATAAGTTATGAGTATTATCTAGGAAATTTGCAACCAGCATTCTGCTTACCTGTTCTGCCATCGTACTATCCGCGGTATTATAATCACTAATGCCAATGACACTGATGTTGGTGTTTGAGTATTTCAAATGCCTCACGTTCCTTGATCTGGCCGGCTCAAGTCAACTTCTTGCCTCGCGGAAGACACACGAGATACCTTTTCTACTGAGTACAGAAGTTAATGTTTCGCGGACTGTAAAAATATTCATAAGGCGGGTCAGATTATGTGATTTTCGGATTGTAGACTTGTAACTTACGAACGGTTCAGCCGAAACTAATTTTGGAAAACAAAGTGTAGGCCTGCCTACACACAGGCACTTGGAATGTCTCAATAAAAAAAAATAATGGTAAATAAACACGAAATGTACCAAAGTCTTAATGTTTCTCTACTCTATTTCGCCTATAATCACCTGTAAATGCCGGTCAAATGCTCATCTACAACACACAAGTACACCGCACGCCCGCCCGCCCTGTGCTGCATGCACAAACAACATGAATAAGAGAGCAGGTAGGAAAGCGTGATCGCGAAATTCGCTCGACGCTCGCTTCATTTCACACCGTCACAGCACGAAAACACATCCAACAGCTTCCATCTTGGTATCCATGTGTACATAAATGTTCAGTTGTTCGAATTATAACGCTGGCCTTTGTTTTAACCTACTCCCGCCAGAGATATCTCGTGAAATCCTGCAGGAAATGTTCTCTCCGTGAAAATGTAAAGAGAACGAGATGACTGTTTATACACGAGTAATGGGGCGCATTGCATGCCGGGATGAGCTGCTGCCGGCCTCCGAGCTCCGTTTCGAGGCCCGCCAAGCCAAGCATAATGCGCGCGGGCATTACGTCACGCACACACGACTACAGCGATCGATCGAAAGTAGCGCCGTTAGGGATTTTCGGATGATACGTCCTCTTTACATTTTAACGGAGAGAACATTTCCTGCAGGATTTCACGAGATATCTCTGGCGGGAGTAGGTAAGAACAAAGGCCAGAGTTATAATTCGAACAAGTGAACATTTATGTACACATAGATACCAAGATGGGAGCTGTTGGATGTGTTTTCGATCTGTGATCGTGTGAAATGAAGCGAGCGTCGAGCGAATTTCGCGATCACGCTTTCCTACCTGCTCTCTTAAGCCTGCCGCACACGCTGTTTTGTGCTGCGCCATCGCCTGCGCCATCCAAAACACAGCGTGTGCGCGTGCAAATTAACGCATCGATTTCTTGCGTGTGGAAAATATCACACATGTTTGATATTTTCTTCCACGTGTGGCAGATTGAACAGCGTGTGCGGAGGGGCTGTGTCAATTTCCACACTGAATTCGCATTGTTCGCTTGATTGTTCGCTTGGACGCATTGTATTTTTTTCTCAGCTCGCAGCTCGCAGCTCGCATATCAGGCAACTCGCATAGAGGCATGTCCAAGAACTGATCGATCAAACATCGTGTGAACGCTCTCTTCAACGACGCTCCGTGTCCAAGCGAACAATCAAGAACAATGCAAATTGAGTGTGGAACTTGACACAGCCACTCCGCACACGCTGTTCAATATGCCACACGTGGAAGAAAATATCAAACACGTGTATTATTTTCCACACGCAAGAAATCGATGCGTTTGCACGCGCACACGCTGTGTTTTGTGCTGCGCCATCAGCCACGCGTGGCCGATGGCGCAGCACAAAACATAGCGTGTGCGGCAGGCTTTATTCATGTTGTTTGTGCACACAGCACAGGGTGGGCGGGCGTGCGGTATACTTGTGTGTTGTAGATGAGCATTTGACCGGCATTTACAGGTGATTATAGGCGAAATAGAGTAGAGAAACATTAAGACTTTGGTACATTTCGTGTTTATTTACCTTCTTTTTTTTTTATTGAGACGTTCCAAGTGCCTTTGCCTGTGGCTGTGTGCCTACATGTGGCGTGCATGATCTGACGATGTAGGCCTATCCTGTATCCGGCTATCGACTATCGTTTACAATGTACAATCTAGAAACTATTGCAATATTTACATATTCTAGGGACGTGAAAAGAAAGGAAAATAATTGGTGTGGTGACTTACTAAATACCATGATCTTCATCAGTTTGAAACAATTACAGAAAAACAAAACTCCAAAATGATCAAACACCGGCCTAAAAATAACAACTCACCACGATATCGTGTTGTTTATGTAAGGAGTATAAGGTCAGCTCGCTAGACGATAGGGCGTAAATTAATCAAACAAATGTTAAAAATAAACATGTATTTTGTATTTTATAAACTATATAAAATTTTATTTAGTTACATAGTATATTTAATTTTGTTAAAAAGTGTAGGCCATAAATAGTTGAATATTAATTTGAACTTTCAAGCCAATGAGAGTGCAGTATATCCGTAGGTTGTGACGCTTGTGTCCGCCCGAAGAAGAAAACCGTTAAGGAAATTGTACAACACGTGTTCCAAAACTTCCCATTTACATGTTTCTATGCCCGTCTCCAATATTTATGCAGTGACATGTTCCGATGCTATATCTAGAGAAATGAAATTGAACGATAATGTCGTGAGAAGCTTTCGCGTTGCGAAGGTTTTTCGTGAAAATAGTGACCGTATAAATAGCATCGATTTCTCACCAAACGGTGAACTTCTCATTTCCAGCGCTGATGACGATCAGATTGTCATTTATGATTGTCAGAACGGAGCGTAAGTGAACATTCCATTCCCCATGTTACGTATAACACACAATTCACGGGTTGGTGGGATATTTGTCTTCCAGTTCATCCATAAAGGCCAATGTGCCAAGAATAAGTAAAAGCCGCTGTCACCGCCGACACCGGCCGGCATTGTTTAGTGGCGTGCGAAATCCTTTGTGAGAAACGACATGTAACCTGTGTTGTACCATAAGCATAATAATACACGTGTACCTACTTTAACGTTTTTCACATATAAAGTTTTTGAAGTGCCTGTAAATTACTTATTTACATGTGGTACTGTATAACAATTGCTAGTGTATGTGTAAATGTAATTGGCAAGCTGGTGTGATAATATTTAAGTTAGTTTAGTGTGCTACCTAGTTATTCAGTAGAATTTTGGCATACGAGTTCTAACTATTTCATTTATTGATGTTTCAAGAGAATTTATATTTAATTTCATGTTTTAGAGTAACTTTGGCTCTCATAAGTTGTAAGTTATCACAATGACAATTGCATAATTGTGTGAAACTGAATTGAATGAACGAACTCGATCTCAAGGCTTTTAGTAAATAAGTAAATTATTAAGTAATACTAAAACTTTGTTTAACAATGTTAATGTAACCATTATTCCAACTATAAGTGTTTTATTCAAGTCATATATTTTAAAATAGTGTATATTGGTGCTTTTAGGCCAAAAAGAACATTAAACAGCAAGAAGTATGGTGTTGACTTGATAAAATTCACTCATGCTTCCAATACAGCAGTACATGGGTCCAACAAAGTCGATGGTATGATTATATGAATTTCCTACTTTAAGAAACTATTCATATACTACCTCATTTCTTCAAGTTAGTGCAGTTGCAATCCTCAGCTATTCAAATTATACATTGATCTGCTAATTATTATCTATTAGTGGTTTCATTCTATATGTTTGATTCGTCTAGATGTATATGTATATATGATTTCTTCAGTGGAAAAGCACATGTTATTTAAGAGCTAGCAGATAATTTTAATAATATATTTGACCAAATGAATAAAATTTCAAGCTATGCTGGTGATATCGTGACCAAATAGCACTTGCTGTTTTGCATTTACAGACACGATACGGTACCTGTCTCTGCACGACAACAAATACATCCGATATTTCACAGGCCACACGAAAAAGTAAGTATATAGCCATAAAGTCACCACTCTATAACCATTTCGACCACGCTTGCATCGATCAGCGTCCCATGCTATATGTCTTTGATCATCACCGACGTGCACCACACACACCGTGCTAGAACGAACTCTACATCATCATTATTAAATCTTTATTGCATGTAATTCAAATACAAATGCGTGTACAGGAGCTGAAACATTTGCTGCGACGCCCACACCCCACGCTCTCGTTTTCCGCGGAATGATGTTCTCTTGTCCTTTGCAGGGTGACGACACTCGTCATGTCGCCGATCGACGACACGTTCCTCTCGGCTTCGCTCGACAAGACGATTCGCATCTGGGATCTCCGGTCGGCAAACTGTCAGGTGAGGACAAGGAAGCAGATGCACGCGCGGCGTCGGAGATGCATGACTGACATGCCCCGCGCTCGAATTTTAATGTGTTTACAGCGAGGAGGGGTGTCTTTAAAAGCACTTTATGCGAGAAGAAGAGAATACAACCATGTCTACCAGAACCTAATTCTCTCCTCGTGGCGAGAGTGGGCTTCTGACGTCACATACGCTAACGCCACCTCTTGGCGATTTTGTCAGTTATCGCGTTGAATATAAAACAGCGACAGCGGCAGGTGAAAATTTGCATATGCCTCGTTAGCATAAATCCTACGAAACATTCTGTACTTCCACAATTCATTAATATATCAACTACAATGGATTTATAGGGCAGTCACGACGTTTCATTGCCGGGAATGTCGGCCTCATTTTGTGAGAGACCACTTTCATTAAGAGTCGTGGAGGGCAACCGTGGCACTTGCCGTCACGGTGTGCTGGTTGATTCCGTGTATTTCATTCTGGAATGGAATTCTCGGGTTCCACTGGCAGGCGGAGCAGCGTGTGACTCGTTACGTATGCATTGCAGGGTCTCATGCACTTGTCGAGTCGACCTGTTGCCGCTTTCGATCCGGAGGGCCTCATATTCGCTGCGGGGATCAACTCCGAGATGATCAAGCTATACGACCTGCGATCGTTCGACAAGGTAGGAGGGCACGACGAGAAGGGAGACGGGAGCGTGTGTGAGCGAGTGAACCCTGCGATCGTGCGTGCATGTAAATGTTTGTGCATACGTGTGTGCATGCGTGCGTGTGTGCGTGCATGTGTGTGAGCGTGCCTTACGATGAAAGCATCGCGAAACGAAGCAGCCGCCTCGTAGGCGAGTGTTGCGCACCGCCGCTCCCCGTCGGGTGCCAGCACCTAGCACAGCAGCGAGTACTAACGCGGTGGTGTCTGTCTCTCCGCATCGTGGCAGGGCCCGTTCAACACGTTCCGGCTACCGCAGGACCGCGACTGCGAGTGGACGGGCATGAAGTTCAGTCCCGACGGAAAGATGATCCTGATCTCGACCAACGGACAGGTGATCCGGCTAGTCGACTCCTTTCAGGGACAGCCGCTGCAAACGTTCATGGTGAGTGATGGCTGTAGAGCCATCTTACAGTTAGCTAGTCGTAGAGGGAACTCGTGTCGTGTGTCGGTCTTGATGTAGACGTCAATTATTATTGTTTTATCATTATATGTTGTTTTGTCGTCTTCATCATTATCGTTTTATTGTTTAAATTGTCAATTATTATTATATTATTTGGGGGCAAGGGCTTAGTGTCTTGGCTAAATCAGAAATGTTGGAACACTACGGCTAGTTGGGGGTGTTAACTATGTACTATCTGTATACATGCCAACTTTAATGAGAGTTATCTCCCTTCCCGTCTGGACCGGAAGCGGATGCCCAGCTCGCGCATGTGCGTAAGGAGGCTGGTTAGTTGGAGTAGCTGTGTAGCTGTGATGTGCTGTTTGAAGTAAACAAAGTCTGTACTATTTGAGTGAGTTTGTAGTATTATCGATCCAACAGGGGGAGGGAAGCAAAATTTCCTTTCAAAGGTGGGATGCCGAGCCAAGTACGACTTTGACGTGCGTAGATGGTTTGAGATTTGGTTTGTGCAGTTGAACCTGTGTTAGTGAGCACCTGTGTATGAAGAACACATTTAGCGTTTCCTTTAAGTGACGGTTATACACTGAAGCAACCGCTATAGAACGGTCACCTGTCTATTAAGGGCAATGGGGTTGCCCTGCAGTGACCCTTGCAGACAGGGTTGGCTTTATTATATGATATTACACTGTAAGTAATGTGCATGAAGTCGTTGTATTGTTAGCATTGGCCGTTGGTATTGTGATCGTGAGATGTGCGTGTTGAATTTTCGCAGGGTCACACAAATATGAAGAATATTCCGCTAGAGGCGTCCTTCAGTCCTGACTCACAATTCGTCTTCTCCGGTGAGTAGCCAGACGTCGCAGGGGATTCGCAACGGCGTCGAAAGTCAGCGATCGGTTTTATCGGCGTATGTCCGCCTGGCATGATCGACACACAGCTCTAGCCAATCAGTGTTCCGAGAGTACGTTCTAAAAACGATGCGTAGCAATGAAGTGCCGTAAAGTTGACGTTTTTGCATGCACGTGCAAAAAAGAAAATAATACGGACTGACCTAGCTTGACCGACCTAGCAGTAGCAGCACCATTCAAAGACGGTAGCGGAGGGGGTTGTCTTGTTCGGACGGATAATAATATAATACGATGTAATAAAAATTTGACGCTTTTCGTTCTTGCCAGGGTCGACCGACGGTTGGATCCACGTTTGGAACGCAGAGAACGGCACGAAGACGGCCAACCTGAATTGCGATCACACGGGGCCCGTGCAGGCAGTCCAGTTCAACCCCAAGTTCATGATGCTAGCGAGTGCCTGTTCCAACATGGTGAGTGGTGGTGCACTACTCGATACGTGTCGTAGTACATGTAAAAAAGAAGTTATGGTAGCTTCTACTACATACTATTAGTGTTGGGCTTTTTTTAGGATTACACAAAACGCCTGTTGTTATACGTTTTTTCAGGTAAAATGTTTATGTTTGGTAGAAACGTCGGTTCAACGACTTTTTTCCCCCGTAAAGCACAAAAATATTGGTGAAATGTTAGAAAATAGGTTCTGTTCGATTTCGTGCTCTTGCTGATTCTTGATATAATTCTAAATAGAAAATGATAAAGGTGGTAATGATGAAAACACCATATGAAATCTTTATACTAGAGTGAACACCCGCCTATAAAAGACACGAATGAGATTTGCTTCGCGTCACTCTTGTGACGGGGTTGACTGTGAAAGTACATCACGGTTTGGCATGTTTTGTAGCTACTCGCATAATGTAGCAATGCTCGTTATTCACCCGCGAAGGAGCATTGTAGACGGATGCGCGTGACGTTGACTAATTCTTCCCACCGCTGTCTCTT